ATCCACCCAACTTTCTCAACGTCGTCCCCGATGATCCGTGCCGGTGAAGAGCGATCCGCATGCCACAAAGGTGGAGCATGTCAGAGGGGTGCTCTCGCTCCCGTGCCACAGGTGCACGACGGACGTCATCACAACGGCAAGGGACCCGTTTGAGGACAAGTACGATGCGGTCAACACTCGCGTTCCGGACACTGAGTCTGAGATGAGGCCGACCCCGATCAACCCAAGGCGAGGAGGACCTCCCACGGCCGCGTCCCTGCAGCGGGACGCGCGCGTGGACAGCCGAGCTCTAAGAGCATGGCTCAGCCCGCTCACCGTTCCCCTGACCCTGCTAGAAGCGATGAGGAGGAAGGGGGCGGCAAGAGTAGGACCAGAAGCTTCTTCTCGCAGAAGGATCCCTTCACCGGTGAGGAGGCAAAGCCAAGGGTCAGATATCGGATGAGGGGGGTGTGTTTAGTTCACGTGTTTTATCACAAACCATGCGCGCCGAATGGCCGCTTGGCTCAAGCAAACAATCTCTCTTCGTTGGACTTTCCCGGTTTCACGTGCGGGCGCCATACCGCGTCAGCCGCTCTCGTCCTGACAAAAGGATTTGTCGGGCCGCGCGCTGCTGGTGGTAGGAGGTACCCGGTGGGCTGTTGGGTGGTCCTGGACCTGATTGTGTGCTTCTTGCTCTTCAACCTGTTATCTTGCCTCCCCAAACCTGATCTTCATTAACTGTCACTCCCACAACCGGGTCATCAGCTCCCTCTCCATTGCGCGTCGGGACTGGGTTCTTTTGGTACTTCGTGAACCACGTGTGCCTCTTTGATTCCCTGGTGTTCGCCCAAAACCGCAATCTTCATCCGATCCCATCTAGCCCCTAGCCAGCCCATACTCAACACTATCCTGCCCTGATCTTGATCCAAGCCCATGTGGCCCTAACCAGCCCACCATTTAAATTTATCCAGGCCTGCTACCTGATCCAGCCCTTTTCGCCTTGCGTCCGGCACTGGGCCTTTCAAGCCCCTATATTGATGGCTGAACGTAAATGACTACACAGAAGGAAGCTTATTGGCTTATTTGCCTGGAATGCCCGCTGCGGTGGCAAAGGCACGGCGCCCACAGTTCCATTCTTTGACTGGCATCAAGTATGTTGGAGACTCTTTAAGCAAAGCGTGCTCAACCACGACAGCATGAACTTTTCAACTGTTATTACTCAGGCTGTAAGGAAGATAAATCTGTTCCACATGCATCTGAATGGTTGACATCGAAGTCCAGCTGGCCACATGAAGTACCACAAGGCAACAACTTGTCACACAACATGTTTGCACTTCCGGCGTTGTTTTGCAGTTTGTGGCCTCTGTTTGCACTGGTTTCCACATGCACTTGGCTACGCTGCTTTGCTTGTCGTCCTTGTTCTGTTTCGTTACTTGAAAGCATGATTCCCCACCGCCGCCACCCTCCCCAGTTCTACACTTCAGCTTCTACTTGAAGAACGAAACGGCGAGTCAGCCACGAGGCTTACAACTGCCTTACTTCCTACCGTAGTCCAAAGTGGGGATTGTTGCTAGGGCGCGCCATGACTTCAGAAAACATGCATCACTGTTGGGGAAATCCACGCTTTGGAGAGTCTGCAGTTGTCTTCCGGCTCCACAGAGAGCCAATCTTGAGACGAATGCCGCGTAGATGAATTTCTCATACTTTCTCTTTTGACTTTGGGGGAGACAGGGGTAAGGGATGCTGAATCATTGCCAAACGAGTTGGCGGGTGGCCGCGTTGCAGCTCACGAGAACACGAGAAAGTTCCCAGAAAGCAGCAATTCAGTCTAGCATGCTGGGTCTTGTCACTGTGTTAACAATTGGTGGCTGTTACAGAGACAGTGCACAAAAATATTCGGGCAAGAACCGGCCACGCAAGAACGCAACGGCAAACCGCAAGTTTGCAGCGGAAAACCGAACACCGAGCAAGAATACACAATTGCCCACTGGGCCATCAGAACGGGCCTGGAGAGAACGCAGGGGACAAACAGCAAGCTGCAACGGAACACAAACAGCATGCGAGAATGCGCGAAATTGGCAGGGCAATGTTTTTCCGCACTTGCGAAGGCAAGGCGCCCTCGCCGTGCATGAGGCCAGAAATCACTCATGTCACCTGCATGGGAGGCCAGTCGTTTCTGAAGGCACATGCTTGCCCAGAAAATTCTCGCGCATTCTCGCGCGTTCTCGCGCAAAATTTTCGTTTTCCGTTGCAAATTGTTGGTTTTCCGTTGCGTTCTCGCGTGCCCCGTTCCGGCTTCACAATCGCAGCCCCGGAAATTTCTCGCACATTCTCGCGCGTTCTCGCGCGAATTGTTGGTTTTTCGTGGCACTTGATTGGTTTTCTGTTGCGTTCTCGCGTGCCCCGTTCCGGCTTCACAATCGCAGCCCCGGAAATTTTTTGCACATTCTCGCGCGTTCTCGCGCGAATTGTTGGTTGCTCGTTGAACTTTGGTTTTCTGTTGCGTTCTCGCGTGCCCCGTTCCGGCTTCACAATCGCAGCCCCGGAAATTTCTCGCACATTCTCGCGCGTTCTCGCGCGAATTGTTGGTTTTCCGTTGCACTTGATTGGTTTTCTGTTGCGTTCTCGCGTGCCCCGTTCCGGCTTCACAATCGCAGCCCCGGAAATGTCTCGCACATTCTCGCGCGTTCTCGCGCGAACTGTTGGCTTTCCGTTGCACTTGATTGGTTTTCCGTTGCGTTCTCGCGTGCCCCGTTCCGGCTTCACAATCGCAGCCCCGGAAATTTCTCGCACATTCTCGCGCGTTCTCGCGCGAATTGTTGGTTTTTCGTGGCACTTGATTGGTTTTCTGTTGCGTTCTCGCGTGCCCCGTTCCGGCTTCACAATCGCAGCCCCGGAAATTTTTTGCACATTCTCGCGCGTTCTCGCGCGAATTGTTGGTTGCTCGTTGAACTTTGGTTTTCTGTTGCGTTCTCGCGTGCCCCGTTCCGGCTTCACAATCGCAGCCCCGGAAATGTCTCGCACATTCTCGCGCGTTCTCGCGCGATTTTTTGGTTTTGCGTTGCGCTGATTGGTTTTCTGTTGCGTTCTCGCGTGCCCCGTTCCGGCTTCACAATCGCCCCATTTCTCACATTCTCGCGCGTTCTCGCGCGAATTGTTGGTTTTCCGTTGCACTTGATTGGTTTTCTGTTGCGTTCTCGCGTGCCCCGTTCCGGCTTCACAATCGCAGCCCCGGAAATTTCTCGCACATTCTCGCGCGTTCTCGCGCGAATTGTTGTTTTTCCGTTGCACTTGACATTGATTGGTTTTCTGTTGCGTTCTCGCGTGCCCCGTTCCGGCTTCACAATCGCAGCCCCGGAAACTTCTCGCACATTCTCGCGCGTTCTCGCGCGAATTGTCGGTTTTTCGTTGCACTTGATTGGTTTTCTGTTGCGTTCTTGCGTGCCCCGTTCCGGCTTCACAATCGCAGCCCCGGAAATGTCTCGCACACGTTCTCGCGCGAATTGTCCGTTTTTCGTTGCACTTGATTGGTTTTCTGTTGCGTTCTCGCGTGCCCCGTTCCGGCTTCGCACAATCGCAGCCGCCACTGTAGCGACCCAAGTTCCGGACCCAGCACACAGAGAAGCTTTTCGTAAGTGCAATTCTGCCATTTGCCGACTTGAATTTCAACGTGTCAGCGTCATTGCGCAGTGCAAGAAAAAGGAAAGTACTAGAACGTGCTCTACGTAGTGGCAGGCATTTATTTCAAGATTGAATCAGTGTAATCATCGGTATGCTCTCCAAATTGCAAGTCCCCCTATCCAAGACACATGTTCATCATGGGCGCCAATAGCTTTCAGCCTCGCCGCTTAACACCCTAAGGTCAAATCTGAGGGGATACAAAAACTGTGGGGATGGCAAAAGCGGAAAACCAAAAAAGACATGGATGGCGCAAGGCAGTGCGCAAATGAGGGAAGGGCTGACAAAATGGAAACGCACGCGAGACACGCAGAACTCGCAAGCATGCGATTTGATAGTATTTGCCCAAGTGGCTGTTATCCTGCCCAAGTGGGCTCTGATAGCAAAACTCCGATGCATGTGGAAGACATGTGTTTGTTTTTTTACAGCCTTTGGAACGGCTCTTGAGCAGTTGATGCTGCCCTTTTTGAATGTGCGCACAGACTCACCAAACTACTTGATGACAGTCAGGGAGTGAAAGCGGCGCACCGTCCTTGCCACCACAGCGGACATTTCAGAAAAATCAACCATTGAGTTTCTCCAACATAATCGCCTTCGCACACATGTGTTCGAGTAACCCCCTTCTAGTCTTGATGCTTTCTTATCTGCATTCAAAGCGCAGGCTAAGCCATAACATGGAAAGTTCGGCTGCACTCCTGTGAGCATTCGCAAAAAGGAGTAAACATGTGCAGGTTGTTGTTTTCACAACTCGCTTGCAGAGGCCCAGGCGAAGAGTACCAGCTGTTCATTGGGAGTTCGCAGGCTGTTGTATTGATGTTGGCGCGCGTAAACTGTGCCATGATGTACAAAAACATGCGCGCGCAAGTAAAATTGAACAGACATTTGTGGGCCAGGCTTTGTGGGACACCCCCCCTCACAAGATATCTCTGGCTTCTTGAGACGGATCGCCTTCCCACATTGTACGTGCTTTGCGTTGGGGCTGCCGGAGAACCCTTGTGACAAGGATTTCCTGGCGGTCCAAAGGCGAAGCTCCTACCGAGCTCCTAGTGTGTGTGAGAATGTTTGCGCCTGCGTGTGCGTATGCATGTGCCTGTGCGCGTGCTTGCGCGTGCCTGTGCGTGCGCGCGTGTGCTTGCGCGCGCGTGTGCCTGCACGCGTGTGCGCGTGTGCGCATGCTTGCGCGCGTTTGCGAGTAAGGTATGGGTGTGGGAGTGTGTGTGTGTGCCGTGTGCGCGTGTGTCCTCCAGTCCGTGTGTGTGTGGGTGTGTACAAAGGCGCAGTTTCACAGCCATTTTGTTTCTAACCTGAGTTGGTGCCGCGGGCAGGTTGCAGCATGACTCTCTAGCCGTTTTCTGATCCAGTGCTGGAGCGAGTTTTCCAGCTTTGATGCTGTTTTGGTAGCGCGGCAGATGCCCTTCACGGGTATTTGCTTAGATGAACATGGCAACCGTCGCAGCGTGCAGATTTACTATGACGGCTTGATTTCATACATCAAATTCTATCCAGAGAAGCATCTTGATTCCAGAATTGGATGCTGTTTTCAATTGTCGAACAGAAAGCGCCCATTAAATTAATGTTTGCTTTTGGCGTTGTAGGGAGTAGTGGTGAGACATGCCCGAGTGCTGTTTTAGACGTTTTAGACACATCAGAATCTGGCATTTCAGGTTGAACAGGCTGCCCATTAGCCTTTTCTATCCTGGAAACGGTGGTTGCGCGGAAGAGTGGTCTATGCAGGTCAGGATCAGTGAGTCAGAAAAGACCAAGCTCCTTATTTTGTCACTATTCCCGGGCTCCAGCGCTGGAGAGAACAACCCTGCGGCATCCAAGTTGCTGGCGCAAAGCGCGCGCGACAAGGGCGTTCACTATTTGATGGGTCCTGTTCTGTTTGTGGCGAAGGCATTGAAAGGTGGCGCTAACCACAATGCAGACCTCACACTGAAGCAGTTCAACGATTGGCTCGGCTTGCCCCAGGAGGAGGAGCGTCCGCCAGCGGCTGAGAGGCAGCGCCCCACAGCACTTGCAGCACCACCACCTGCTGCAGCGCAGCCGAGGGCCAAAGCACCATCGCTAGGCTGCGAGATGAGTTATCCTGCATTGGGCGGTCAGCCCCAGCAACCGCTGGCAAGTCGGGCAAGCCTCGGAAGTGGCCAAACAAGGACTCCAACCATTGGCCACGCAACAGCTCCAAGAACCAGCCAGCCAATGGCTGCAACAACTGGCCATCCAACGGCTCCAGCAAGTGGTCAAGCAACCTCCACTCAAAAGCCCGAAGCAGAGCCATGCGGGTCATGTTTGATCTTTTACGAGGAAGCGCGGCCACCGACTGCGAGCGCGTCTGGTGGGCGTCCAGAGCAGCCTTCACAGGCAGTGAAGATCCGGGGAGGTGTTTCAGTGGGGCCCAGTGTCTCCCGTGCGGGTGGGAAGAAAACGGTGCTCGTGGGCGGTCTGAAAACGGTGTGGCCGGCATCAATCTTGGCATAAGAATACACCAAGAGGTCTGGAGCGCCATGGAGTTCACCTGTGTTGGTTGTGTCTTATGTCGGCAAGTCAGGGCATCACACACGCACACAAAAGCAGTTAAGTTGATTGGTGAGCTGGCTTCGATGCAAAGGCCCAGAGGGCGCGCGCACTCGCTTTCCACATTGCCGGACTCAGGTCAAGAAGTTTGCCGTTTTGTGTGGGGGCATGCTCCTTTTTCGAGAGCGTGGCCATGGGTTCTTTTGCCGAAGGCACGGCCCTCTTGCACAGGTACGACACACACACACAGAACAACTTGCACAGAGTACACTTGCGAGGCATGAGCTGACGCAGAAACTTGCATAGAGCATACTTGCAGGGAGAAAACGCAGAGAACACGTGAACTCCTCCTCTAAAAGCTTTCCCTTTCTCCCCTTTGTCCCTTCTATCGGCCTGTCGGCATGCGAGACCAAGCAGCATTGGTGCGATGTTCTACGTTGCGCGGCGCATTTGAGCGTCGGGCCTCGCCGCGCGAGGTCCAAAGGTTTTGAGCTTGAAGCCGGTTTCCAAACATTTGTGTGGACCAGGTCGCAATTACCTTCTCAGCGCGCGCTCTCCCAAAGGCATAAGGTCGGCAGTGCCGGTATTAAAGCCCGTTGAAGTCCACGCACGGCTCTAGTCTGATTGGCTCCTTGATGCCACCCAAACGAACAAAAGCAAGCCTAGTATCATTTCTTTCATGGTTGGCTAGCAAACCCGCCCACGTCTAATACAGGCTTGTCTTGCGATTTGTCCAAAACAGCCAAATGCTTATCACGCGTGTCTCAAAGCCTCGCATCGCCACGGACTTCAATGAAAGTGCCAAACAGCTCCGGAGCTTCTGTGTGACGCGCTAAAGCACCAAAGGCTTTTGTACGCGTAAGCACTAAAAGCGTGAGGCTCTCCAAATGCCCAAGCCCTTCAACAGGTCTTCCACGCGCCCAATCGCTTAAGCCCTGATTACGTGAACTGTGAACCTCCCGATCGCCTAAGCCTCAAAGAGCCCAAGCCCCGAAGCGCTTGAGCCCCCAAGGGCCTAATCGTTGCGTAGCCTTTAAGCGCTTTGGCCCTAACGCACCTAAGCCTCTAAGCGTCTAAGTCTCTACGCGCCCTAGCCTCTATCCGCCTTAGCATCTGAAGGCTTTATGCCGTTGAGCGCCCTAGCTGGGCAGATATGCTCCAACTTAGTGGTGCAATGGCTTAGAGGCTTGGAGGCTTAGAAGCGTAGGGAGCTAGAAGGCGCAAAAGCCCGGAGGTTTAGACTCTCAAAGGCATGAAGCGAATTGCAAACTCTCAAGCACATTTGCGCAGGGCACACTTGCGCAGAGCATGCTTGCGCAGAGCGGACTTCGCGAGCAGCCTCGCACAGAGCACCTTTGCGCAGAGCATATCCTCCCATTGTTATCATGTCAGTGCAGCAGGAACCGCGCAATCCTAATCTTCCGCTAATGGTACCCATGTCAACACAGAAATACGTTTTGCTGCTTTCGGACCAACTCTCGTCTAGTTTGCACCTTGGCCAACGCAGGTTCACAGTTCCATGCTTGCGTGCTGTTACCCCTCGAGTCTTGGCAACGTTGCAGGCATCTTCCTTCACCACTGCTACTTGCCTATCCCAGCATCATCCAGAAATTTCAGAAGCAGCCCAGTCGCAGGAAACGGGCAAAAAACAGCTGCTTGTTCTGTTGCGCTTGAGTTTGTGTTTGCTGGCACTGATGCCTGCCTTGCACAAGACCTGAGGCACGCGCTACCCATAGCAACGGGCCTGCTTCTGATTCCGCATTGCCACGCATTGAGCGGATGAAGGTGAAGCTTCAGGCGTGGGTGGACAGCCGCAGCGGCAGCGAGACGCAGCAGCTTACAATCAACGATGCAGATGCAAGGCAGGCTTTGGAAGCTCTTGACGACGGAAAGCTGGGCGAGTTATGTGCGGTTGTGCACGCAGAAGTGCCCCACGAACGTCGAGTTAGTGAGGCGAAGGCTTTCAATGGTTCTAGGTCTGCGAAACTGGCTGAGGTCGAGTCGGAGTGGTTAGACACCTGGCCCGCAGCCTGCGGACTGTCCGAAACCATGCCCTTCCAACTCAGTCCATTTCAACAAGAGGCATTGCAGGAACGCGGTCTTGTGCGACGGCCTGTACTCGGTGATGGCGATTGCCAGTTCCGCGCCTTTGCCGATGAGGTCGGCAGGCATGCCCAGGAAGTGCGCGAAGATGCTGTGCAATATATTGAGACCCACCCAGAGCAATTCAGGGCGAGCATCGTGGCAGATGCAAGCATTCGCCAGAGCTTTGAGGAATATTTGGTGGGCATGAGAAGGTCAGGCTCATGGGGCGATGATTACACCTTGAGTGCGCTGGCCCTATGCTACCAGAAGAGGATTATTTTGCTGGGGCCAGATTTCGAAAGGCCAATAGAGCCAACGGGGCGTCATGAGACAGAGGAGCGGGCAGCTGCTTTCCTCAGCCTCAGAGGTTCCCTAGCCCCTTGCAGCGCTGTTTAGGTTGAGCGAGAAAAAACAATCAAGAAGAACACCACCGCTGCAAGCCTTTGCAGGAGATCTGCCTTATCTACTTCCAACAGCGCGGTGCTGACCACCATGTTGACCAGTATGTTGGCCACTATGATGCAACTCAGCGTGTTGTTCAGGCGCAGGATTCAAAACAAGATAGAGTTGCAAAACTCGAGTTTGCTTTTTCAATGGAAATGACGATTGCAACCCGCTGCGCTGCCCCCCCCCCGCCCCGCCCCAAGAGTTGAATTATGTTTTCCCGCGCGTGCAGCAGTGTCCACCTTTGACTGTCTTGCAATAGAGGGGTGTGCTACTTGGTTGAACAGGTTTGGACACATTTAAGTAGGGAGTCAAGTTAACCTTGAGTGTTTGCGCCACTCGCCTTGACTGAAGCAACTCCTGCAGGACACCGTTGAGCGCTCCATCGCGGGAAGAGATCAGGACGCAGCAACTCCGCACCTACTGGTCTGGGTTTCGAAAGCGGGTGCCTTTGCGCCCGTCATGGGCAACGTTCAAATGAAATAATTACAGTTCTTGCTGAAGCATGTGGAATGAGGAGCAGGCGCTGCGCTTCTGTGTTTGTTATGAAGCAGCCACGTACAAGTCAATTGTGTTGTACACCCTGCACGCATGATGTCGTGTAAGTGTGTGGCTTTTTGTCGGGTTGCTTCAGGTGGGAGAAGGCTGTCGATCACCTGTGTAGCTGGTCGGTTCTTTTTCCAGCTGATGTTTGGGTACTCATAGCCTCATCAGACAGGACTGCAAGAAGGTTCAGTGAAAAGCCCCAAGAGTTCTAGATTGAACAGCCTGAGCAAAAGTAGGCTCAAAAGCAGCTACACTTGTGAAGCCCAGGGCACACAACTGCCAAGGACAATTCAACATGAGGTCTGGCACAGCATCGAGCCTTTGCAAGACAATTCCAAAAGTCCGCGTAATGTTGGCGTGCAACAACCCCGATTTCAACTGAAGCCCTACAAGACATCGAAAGTTCGCGAAGCACCCAGAGCCAATCCTCACAATCCACACTTGCATGCCAAAGACGATGAATAGAGTAGGTGTCCTGGCCCAAGCCGCATGAGCAACAAGAGGTTTGTCCATATATGTTTGGGGCCTGCGGCCTCTTGGCATTCTTGACCAGCTATGCTGATGCGGGGTTTGATTTCAATCATGATGTTCTACCACTGCAGACTTGTTGCAAACAATCGCTGGCACAATGCTGGAGAAAGCCAAAGGTTTGTGGCAGGCAGGTTTTGACCACTTTCGCAGAGCCGGTATTGGCACTTGTATAATAAACCACCTTCGCTCAGGGTCGCATGTGCATAATCAACAATTCCAATTTTGGTCGGTGTTTACGCGTCGGCCAAGGCGATTCCCGCAGAGGTTCGCGCACGCATGATCAAGAGTTGCATCTAGGGAGGTTGTTTGCACATGGACATGCGTGATTCGCAGGTCCTGCGCGCATAATCTAAAGCTGGAGTTCGAGGGCTTTGGCACATGGGCACGCATGCGCAAGAGTTGCACTTGGTGAAGTTTCTCAAAGCGACAAAGGGTCGACCGCACATACCCAAAGTCGTTTTTCGGAACGGCTTTTCTTCGCAACGCAGCTTTGATACGTAGATATTTGTTTAGGATCTTAAGATCGCGTGGGGAGCAAGAGAGACTGGGGCTGGACGCTGCTTAGGCGGCCTTTTCGGCCATGGGGCTTCTTGTCATTTGCTGCTGTCATGAAGGCAGACGAAGTAAAAGGCTCAATTCATGATCATCATGGATCATTGATGGGATAAGACGCATCCGGAGGTGTTCTGGGGACTGGGCAGATGGCCTAAGAGCTTGGGCACGAAGTGTGAAGCGCCAAGCAGAAAGCTTGGCACATTGCTTTCGTGAGGAAACCCCCCCCTACACTTTTGAGCACTTTTTAAATACACCTATCAAATTACACCATTCAAAACCACCAAATTGAACAACCCTCTAAGTTAATCATTAGAAAAATGATGTTCTAATGATCAACTTCATTTTTTAGTCCAATTCACCACCATCAGCCTGATCAACTTTCTTTCTTCTCAAAGCTGGATTATACAAAGGCATTGTCATTTTGAGTTCTTGTATCCTCTCTTGACCTTCTTGAAAATATATGTCCTTGAATTCTTGTGTAGGTGCTTCTTCAACTAATCGTTCATGATCTGCTTTCAAGTGTTTGAGTATATTATCTTGGTGACAACCTCCAACCAAATGGAAGTCCCAAATGTCTGGGTTCACTCTTCTTTCACAAACATGGCAATACAAATATCCATTTTTTGCTGTTTTCTCTCTACGCTTCCGATTAATTTCCTCGCGATTTGCTTCGAGATGCTGTTTCCGGTATTCTTTCCTCTTGTCTACAGTTCGTTTGTTGTAGTCTCGTTTTTGATCAGTGCATTTCTCACAGTTTTTGAGTCCATACACGAAACTATCTTCACCTTTCTCGTATCTACATCTTGAACACAGTTTTTTCTCCACACTTTAGTAGGACACCTTGCCTTTAGATGGCTACAACCCTATTTTCAACCAATTATCACTCCCCGAAAAGTGGCTAACCAATGGAAAAAGGAATATTCCAAGGGCTAACTCAAATCATGTCAACAATCCCAGTAAAATTGGATGGCAAAATGCGGGGGGACAGGGCTTGGTGGTCACTGATAAGTCACAGCAACTGGTAAGTTTGGTCACCACCACTGGTGACTTTACTCACCACCACTGGTGACTTTACTCACCACCACTGGCTTTACTCACCACCACTGGTGACCACCACTGGTGACTTTACTCACCACCACTGGTGACTTTGGTCACCATCCTTATGACATGTTGTCTAAGCAAGTGTGGTTTATGAAATGTTGTCACGGAAACAGTGACACGTCGTCATAGAAACAGTGACACGTCGTCATAGAAACAGTGACACTTCATCTTAAGCTTTTTGTTGGTGACGTTGTAGTTTGTCAAACCTTCAGAATCTCTGACCTCAAATAGGGGCGGTTTATCCCTTCAACGGAATAATAATCTTGACCAAGTTTTTTTTCAACCCTTGAAACCTTGTATTTGACACTGCTCCAGTTGCTCGTTCTCTCCTTCTCACTGATCCCTTCTTACGATATATTTTGACCTCATCGCCAACCCTAGCAGGGGGATATTTACAGGTTTTCATTCTGTTCATCTCAAGCTTCATCTTGACATCAAAATGGTTCCCCTTCTTGTGGGCATCGTTTGGAGTCATGTCGTGTGCCGAATGGACCATTTTGCTGTTGTATGTTAGTATGATCTCGGGGATATAATCAACCCATTGTATATTAACCTTTCCCTTTTCCTCATCTGCATCAACCCTTTTGAAAAGCATGTCCTTGAACGTCCTAATGAAACGCTCGGCGAAATGGGGGTGCCCTCTTGTTTTGTAATTCTGAATACCCTGAGCCTTGAGAAAGTCAACAAGATCCTGTGTATTGAGACTTCCCTCATCGTCCGAATAAACGAATTTGGGTGTCCCTCCCATTTTGTTTAATGCCTCCATGATCCCAGCCGTGATGTCGGGAGGTTGCTTAGATGCGATAGGCGCCACCACGGCTTTACGAGAGAATACATCAATAAGCAACAAGCCTATCCTATATTTTTGATTATCCAAATCATTTTTTGATATAGAAAATAGATCCAGTTGATATTCATAGTTGGTATCAGGGGCAGTAAACGAGTTGTATCCAGACAGTTGTTGTTTGCGTTCCACGTTATCTTGAAACCACTCCTTGACATCTTGCATTGTTATGGGTGCATCTTTTATGTTGGCATCTTTATAAGTGGTGGGAATGCTACCAAACCCAGCCCGGTCGTAGTAGATATCAGATAAATCAGTCTGACTATCTTGTCTTTATCACTCATATAAATAAAACTATAAATTTCAACATGATATTTTGTCACTGAAACACCGATTGCACGAAGCACAGAAGGCAATGACATTATCTTTTGTATGGGGTAGATCATAACATAACCTTTGGCAAGTCAAATTAGAGTTTATATTGCCAGAATCTATTGACAACACAAAGCCACAGCCACAATTTGCACACTTTCCGTTGACATTGTCCTTCAACCATTCAGCATCTACATAATTTTCTTTTGGGATCTTAAATTTGTTTGTACGATCCTGTTCCTTGTATGCTAACACCCTTCTATCAAAATAATTCATAATGCATCTTGCGTTAAACTCTTCATTTAAATCAGTACTGTGTTTGTAAAAATTTTACTCTGTTTAAATCCCTTGCCCGAGTGATTCCCGTCCAAAGCCACTCGCGAGTTACCAAATGATGATTCCAATCAAAAATGGTGACATCGTCATCTATGGAACATCCCTGAACGGAATGACAAGTATAACAGAAGGCAAAGATAAAATGACTTCTCAAGATACCAATATGTAGCGTGATCTCTTCATGTGTTTTGATATTAGCAATGGTAACCCAATAATCGATAGTCTCATACCTGAAATTCACATTTTTTAGGTTGTTTGCACCCTAGCCATCTGGCACAAGCAGGAAAGCTGAAAATAGGGCCGCGCTGCATGGTAGCGGAGCCCTTGGACATGATCAGGGACAAGTCCAAGGGCAGCGCCGGGTCATTGGCCAGAGGCGAGACCGTCAGCCTGCGCCGGGCCGAGGTGAGCCGGAGGAGAAAGGCCGGCAGGCTGGTGGCAGGGTGGGTGGCCGAGCGGTGGGAGGCCGCTGGAGGAGGTGGATCACAGCGGTGGTCCTGGTGCTGGCCTACTGCGTGGACCTGCACCTGGTGATCATCGGCTGCCTCGATCATCTTGGCGGAGGAAGTGATGAGAGCCCTGCAGCAGGTGCAGCAACAGCTGGTCCAGGTCCAGCAGGAGAATGCACAGCTGCAGGCGAGGCTGCAGGCCACTGAGCAGAGCAGGGCCAGCGGCTCAGGAGGCATGGAGACGGAGGTGCTGAGAGCGCTGCAGAGCTTGCCGGATGCCCTGGCGAAGCTTGGCAAGAAGGGGCGTGGGGGCCTGGTGGACCAGAGAGGTTTGGGGAAGCCCTACACGCTGGGGGAGGACGCCGAGGAGAAGTTTCGGGTCTGCGTTGAAGCTGGCGGACTACGTCACGGGGGCCTTCAGTGGCAGGAGCCGGAGTTAGGATAGGCCATGCGCAGCTTTTTTTCGAACTCAAAAGTCCAGGGTCCACCCTACGTTTTTTTGCATTTTTTGAATAAGCGCCCCAAAACAGCCATTTTAAAACATATTTTGAAACAGTCTAAACACATTTTGATAAGTATGTTTTAGCACAGCATGCCAAAACGAAAATTGATTTTTTTTGAAAATTTCAACACACCTAAACCGTTTTATTTTCAAAAACACATATTTTCCAAAATAGTTTAATTTTTTTCAAAAGAGATAAATATATATAGCATTTTAAGAAGAATTA